TTCATAGACCTCCCCTATCCCAAAGGCCTCCCAGGGTTAAGAAAGACCAGCTGGGCATGGTGGCACATGCCTTTAATCCCAGCACTCAGGAGGGACAGGAAGGTGGATCTTTGTGAGTTCAAGACCAGATGGAACAACAGGGAGACTCTATCTCAAAAAGACAACAAAAAAAAAAAAACGAAAAAACCTCCAGAGCCCTGGCAATCATCCCATTCAGGATGAAGAGGGTACAGAAAAAGAAAAAGTAGCTATGAGTGAGTCTGTTTCAGGGCATAACTGAGCCTCTTCCAGACTTGACTTCTATTCATCAAGGAACCAGAAATCTGCAAAGCTGAGTGAGAAGGACAGAGCTGCCCATCAAGCCATACCCTGGGGACTCTGCCCCAAATGAAAGGGAAGGCATAGTGAAGGACACTCTTCTGTGAATTCCCAACTTCAGTCCTACCCCAGCATTGACTTACCATAGTCCTTGAATGTTTCCATTTTGTTAGCTTATTCAAGATCCGAAGCAGATTGATACAAGAAAAGAGGTTCCTCCAACAAAATTGGTTGTTGTCACCTGCTTCCTACAGGGTAAACCCAGAAACAATCATAACTTGCACAGTTGCAGGCTATCAGGGAGCCCCCTCTCAGAGCCACCCATGGGGGACTCTATCCCCCAGGGTGGCAGACACAGGAACTCAAGAGACATTTCCTGCAGGAAACATGCGACCATAAAACTGGGAACACGGCCCTGTAAGCTCTAGTAGGCAAGCTCTGGCTCAGCTGTCCCTGCAGATATGCTCCCTGACTAACCCCTATATCCAAACTGCTCTGCTCTACAAGTCCCTCTCCCGGCCCTTCTGGCCATTCTAGTACTTTAAAAAAAGTTAAAGGTGACCTCCTCTGGAAGATACCTCTATCCTTGTGCTGGAGGAAAGCAACCCTCATGCCAAAGGGTTAGCTGGGGGAGCCCAGCCACTCACCAGACTCTCTGCAGTCAGCTCTGGAAGCTCATTCACCACACAGTGAGGGTAATCCAGGACAGAAATGCTGCAGAAGGCAAGAAGACCCAGGTGCCCACAGTGAGCAGAAGCTGGGTCTGGTGGAGTAGCCATGACTGAGTTGGAACAGAAGCAAGAAATCTACCTTGCTTGCTCTACCCTAGTTTTCTTGACTATAAGATGAGGAAATATTTGTTACTAGTCAATGTGTAAGGCTCCCTTCTGATCGGACCAGTTTGTAATCCAATTGGTTGTTGTGTAAGGGGCGGAGGAAACAATACTACAGCTTTCCTCATAATGATTTACGCCAAATTCTCCTAGAGGAAGTAGTTAGCTGGACACTTCCCCTGCAATGCCTCATACTGATAAGCAGGCACTGTCAGGTACAGCTGGCATGAGGCAGGTGTTAGCATGTATGAGGCAGAGCTCTGGGCCCAGCTCCTTATAGAAGAGAGCACCAGATGGTTCCTCAAAAAAACAACAACAACAACAACAAAAAACAACAAAAGGTGGAAAAGGAGGGGGAGAGAAAGGAAACAGGGATAGAAGGAGTAGTGAGGGAAATCCTAGAGCCTAAGATCAGTGCCTCCTTCTCAGACATAAGCAAAGTCACCTATCACTGGATTAGCTAGACTCAAAATGGACACACTGTCTCATTCATCTTTTTTCCAGATGTCTGGCAGAGTGCTGGTCCATGGTGTTAAAAAAAGGTTTGCTGAAGTCTCAGGAGGAGAGACCAGCTAGGAACCCTACTGTCTGGCCACACCACCCCTTCCTGGTCCCTGGTCCTTATCACCTGTTCTTGGCAGTGATGTAGGACATGATGTTTTGATTGAAGAACTTTAGGATCAAAGGGATGCAGTTGGCAAATACCAGGTGCTGGGCCATGTATTCAAACTGAAACCAACAGGGAAAAAAATAAGTATGACTTTTGGGACCTCACTCTCTTTTCTCTAGTGATAAAAAGTCTTGGCTGGAGGACCTCATCTTAGAACATTCAAATAGCGCTCAAGTGGGTTCAAAATCCAAGGCCCCATTTCGGGCATGGGGGGGGGCGGGGCACACAGCACTGCCTAAGACCCTGGCCCAGTAGACAGGAAGGTAGACAGACCCTACAGGTACCTGGTAGACATGGTTCAACTTAAAGTGCTTGAGCAGCAGCAGGAGCACAGCAGAAATGGCCTTCACAATGACTTCTTTGTGACGGTTCACATCCACCCCCAGCTTCATGCTCTGCAACACTGTGGTGCTGAAACCCAAGTGACTTGGTGAATCACCAGCACACACAGCACCTTTTTCCGAGGTACCCGCAATGGAGATGGATTCCTGAGGCCTCTGGCAAAGGCCCCCATCCCATGGACACCTAAGAAGTCAGGTTAGGGCTCCATCCACTCATCTCCTAAGCAATCTAGTTCGGTACAATTTTGTTTCCCAATAATGCCTCCCAATACATTCTCAGTCTGTTTCTCTGCTTTTCCTCCAACAACAAACTCCTTTTCAAAATTCTCCCTAAGTTTTGGCCACTATATTAACTTTAGTTCCCCAAAGCGCTGTGGAACACCAGTACACGAATGAGTTTCAAGCTATGGAGGGGGAGGGGTAGTGTTGAAGCCAGATAAATTTAGGAAGCACTGAGATATATCAGTTTCCTAATTCAGAACCTCTGATTGAAAATCTCTGTGAGAGGAAATATAGTGTTTGACTTTACAATTTTTCTTAGACAGCCTGTTCTGTAAATCTCCCTCTGGTATGAGCCAATCCCTGCCTCCTGGCCATCGCTTCCAGACCAAGTGATTGGCTCAGATTAAGGCAGTCCTTAGATATAGTCAGGAGATCAGGTAGAGACCTGGGTTCTTTTGGACATGACCTCAGTCTGTTCCCTCACATGAAAGAGATGAGGTCAGCCAGAGAGGAAGAATCCATAAGAGTTTCACTCTCTCCTTTGAGACATTTGCCAGGACTCCACCTGCCAGTTCACACTGGCCAACAGGAGAGACTCAACATCAGAACAGGCTCTGCTGTGGCTGGCAAACTGTCGAGAAGTTAAGGTATCCCAAACACATGGCTTTAGAGAGAATGTTCTGGATAAATATACTGCTGCCCCATCCATTTTAAGAGGAAGAATGGCATTTCTAATTCACTCAGAAGTTCACTTAGTGACAGTCTACACTGGGATCTAGGCCAAGACATCTTCCTACTCAGTGAAATTCATCCAATAGTTTCCTCTGTCTGAATCAGGAACACCCTAAACTTAACCTGCAGAAAAGCTAAGCCAACAAAAGAAACCAACCTAAAAAGCACTGATCCTTTTCCTTCTAGCCCCTACCCAACCTGCTCCATTCACAGCAGTGACACTCACGGCATCTCCTCAGGCAGGACATCTGCCAGGATGTTGATTGAGTCTGTTTTGGCTTTTGAGGTGGGAGCTGCGGCCAGCAGGATCTTCAGGAGGGCAATCTGGGAAAAGCAGACTGCTCAGACATACATCAGAGCCTAGCACCAGAAGAAAGTCCTAAGAAGTGGCACACCTAAAGGCCCCTCAGGTGGCAGGAGCCTGAGTAGAGACCAGCTTGTGGGGATCTCACTGCAGGTACCTACTGAGAGAGGTCCCAGACACAGAGCACACTCACCATATACTGAGGCAGGCTGGGGAGCAAGCCTTGGTAGAGGGTTTCTGCAGGGACTTGCTCAACTTCCTCTTCTCCCTTTTAACACAGAAGGCATATGCACAAAACCCCAGTCTAGGCTACGATCTCCTTAATGTGATGTTGATGATAGTAATAGCAAGCCCCTAAACATACAACATGCCAGACACTTCCCTTGGAATAGTTCAGTTAATTCTTACTATATCCTTCTTCATACAAGGAACTATAGTCAGGAATATTAGTGCATACCTGTAACCCCAGAATTTAGATGACTGAAACAGGAGTTTGGGGCCAGTCTGAGCTACATAGTGAGTTCCAGGTCATCCTGGGTTATAGATAGACATCATCTCAAACAAACAAGAAAGAAAGAAGGCACTATTTCTATTCTCCTTCTATAGGCAGAAAAACAAAATAGAGATCTAGTTTTGTGCCCAAGTTGCCATTCACTGACTGGGAGCTGGACATGGGCTAGAAGCTATTTAAGGCAAGGCTTGAGTCCTGAAGCAGTTTTGGGGGTCAGGTCCAGCTCAGAGCCTAGGAACAGCTGGGGACCCTGTGGGCTATGCGCTTCTTCTCACCCCTGAGAGAGGAGAGCGAAGGTACTCCTCTTCCATCTGTGCCTGGACCTCTGCAATTGACGTGTACTTGTGCTGGAAAGAGAGGCAGGAAAAAGGTGCTGGGGGGAAACACTCTCATTCTCTGGCCACACTTCCCTGCCACATGCTGGCAAAGACCCACATACTTTATTTCAGATAGTCTTCTGAAAGAGGGCCAAAAAGATACCTAATAAAATTGCAAACCCGAACTATTTTTCTAAGTAGTCACCTACTTCTTATAACCTGGGTAAAAAGTCCCCAATAGATGATTAGAATAAAGCAAATTAAAATGGGGTATTTTCAGAAGCAATAATGACAAGACAAAAGTTATTAAAGACAAAACCAACCACACTCTTAAAAAAGCCTAGCTACAGGGACCATTTGGTACTACAGATTTCAAAACTGAACTAAAAAAACCATAGTTACATTCCAGATATATTTGTAGGGAGACACATCCTCGTCCTTCTTCATGTCCTCTTCCTGCCCCTACCTTCCACCTACTGCTCCCCCTCTGAGTGGTAAGTCTGGGAGAACAAGGTGGTCTTAGCTTCAGCCGTTTTCTTTAGAATCTACTACCTGCCTGCTGAGAGCCTGTGCCCTTTCTGCCTTCCAGTTCTGTCTGGTCAGGGTAAAGGAGCCTGCTTAAATTCTAAAATATGGTATTTGCATATCATACCTACTATGACACACTCAAGTCTTGCTCCCCATCTCCACTGCCTACTCCTCTCAACTGCCTTAGAACTTGGGCAAGGAAAAGGGAAGACTACTTAGGGACTGATTGGCATGTAATATAACCAGCCAAAAGATGTCAAACTTGGGAAGGACGTACTGTCCAGACTCTTGGTAGCAGACAATAGTCCTGAAAGGCCTATTGTCTCCCTTGGCCCAGGCTCACTTTACCCCCTTGGGACCAAACAAGGCCCAAAGTTCAACTAGAACCACTTACCTGTTTCAGTGTCTTGATGCTTTCGTGGATTGGCCTTGGCAGCCCCACCACTGTGTTCGTGTCACTGGAGAATAAAGAAGGCCTTGTACTGAGGCCAGATATCCACTCACTTGCAAACCCCTCCCCCCATCCCCCTGCCAAGGCAAGGAGAGTGAGCTTCAAAGGAGACTCAGATCATACTCACCTGCCTAGAGTGTAGCCTATGAACTTGCTGCGGCTGGATTCAAGGAACATCTCAATGTCTTTCTCTCTGCCAAAGGAAGAAAGAGGGAAAAAGGTTATCAAATACTATTTCAAGGTGCTTTAACAATTCCATGTCTGAAAAAAAAACAAACAAACAGTCCCATGTCTGTGTTCTAACAGAAACAAAACATCTAGAAATTGCAAAGCCAAAGGAAAGAAAGGTCTCCCAGAATGGTTTTACTTTCTCAAAAAGAGAAAAAAAACTTTGTTGGACTCATATCCTGAAAATATACAATGTGGAACTAGTTTACTCATAAAATTAAGGTAGAACACCAAACTTAAAGACATACTTTATTCAGACAATAGTAAGTTTGTTGTTGGACTTTCTTAAGCACTGAGAGGTATGAGTTACTGACTTCACATTGGTCATTTTCTGGTCTCAAACAACAAACACACCCTGCACTCTGGGGTGACCTGTTCTTCATTCGTCTCATAGAACATTAAAAACTAAGGCTTTATCTCCTTTTATATCTTTTTACATTTGCATCTGTTCCTTAAGCTATTGCCTATGAAACAGGTACCCTTTTTACATCTCTAAGTACCTATCCATCCACTAATTCATACATGTTAAATACCTTAGTTTTAAGAAGCTCTGAGTCTATCATTTTTATGTTAAAAGTCATATATAATTCCAAGATGGGTGGCAATAGGTTTCCTTTTATATTTTTCTTATCTTCCTTCATTAGCAAGTCTGATTTAAAGCTAATTCAAATTACGGACACAGGAGCCATACAACAATGATCACTTTGTGTGCCCTTGGCGAGGCCATCCTCGGAAGTGCCCAGGACAGGACAGAGTAATTTCAGAGGCTCAGTGCAAAGCCAAGCTCCTTCCAGACTTGCAGAGGATGTCAGTTGCTGGCCTGGCGGCATGTAGGCACTAGCTTCAAGAATATCTGAGACTCACCTGACCTTGGGGGCCCAAGGGAGCCCCTTTGGGCAGGTAAGCCTGTCAGTCTGGGGGTGCTGTAGTGGGGGAGGCATCACCTCATCCCGCTCAAGAGGAAATGTCTCCCCCTCCAGGCTACTGTCATCATCATTTTCCTCCTCTTCTTCTCGAGAGTCATCAGCCTTGTAGGGATCCCGTTCATTGAAGGCATCTAGATTGTCCTGCTTTATCAGAGCCTGAAAGCAAAGGGAAGGGAGCTGAGACAACTAGAGCCACCCAATGAGACACCTGAGGGAAACACAGCTCAAATGTGTTTGTGTGTCTGGTGTGCCAAGAACACCAGAAAAAAGCACAGGAGTCAAGACTAGAATCCAGTGACAAATCCTTTCTTGTCCCAGCACCTCAAAAGCCACCATAACTGAGTACCCATATACACTGGGCCTAGGGCTGGAGACAGTGAACTTGCTGTGGGGGCACTTCTCCTGACTAGTTGATCAGAGCTGATTTTTAACACCCAGTTTGTCCAAGAACCATGCTCCTATGAGTGTGTATTGAGATCTCTCAGGAATCCCAGGGCCCTCTGTTGCCTCACCTTGTGCTCCCGTCGGCCCCTTTTCTGTTGCTGCTCAATCAGGTCTGAGGCAGAGGCTGGAGGGGAAGCAGCTCTCATGCTGCGGATCACTTTGATGCTGTCCTCAGGCAGTGGGGGGAGTCCAAGGAGGGCACGCTTCTCAGCCTTCATGTTCTGCAGCTCCTCAAAGCCACCCAGTGTGCACTGTGTAAAATGGGGGTGCAGGGCCTGGGTCATTATATCCTTGATAAAGATATCAAACTAAAAAAACATGCATGATACTATCAAGACCCAAATCTGTACAGAGACCCACACACACTCTGATCAAGAAACAAGAAACTATGGCTACCCAAAGGAGAATTCAGTGACCTCTGCAAGGGACAGGAGAGAAAGGAGCACAGAAAGAATAGAACAGCAGTTTGGGGGAAGCTAGTGCATGATACACTTAACTCTGTGCATGTGATGTATTCCCCAGTTTCAAAAAGAAGCAGATTGAGCAGGGTGTGGTGGCACATGCTGATAATTCCAACACTTGGGAAGCAGAAGCAGGGGAGGATCACTGTAAATTTAAGGCAAGCCTGGTGTACACAGCAAGTTCCAGGCCAGCCAAGACTATACAGAGAAATATCTTAAAACCAACGAACCAGGGGTTGGAGAGATGGCTCAGTGGTTAAGAGCACTGGCTGCTCTTGCAGAGGACCTGGGTTCAAGTCCCAGCACCCACATGGCAGCTAACAACCGTCCATAACTCCAGTTCCAGGGGATCCGATACCCTGTTCTAAAACCGGTGGCACTGTATGACATAGGTGCACTTACACACATGCAGGCAATACACTCATACACGAAAATAAAAATAAATAAAAGTTTTTTAAAAACCTAACCAACCAACCAACCCAAAACAACACAAGTAGACTGGAGCCTGTTCTTACAAATGTCACCTGACTAATGCTTCCAAAGTTGTGCTTATGCCCTGCCTGATGGCACATGCCTTTAATCTCAGCACTTGGGAGGCAGAGGCAGGCAGATCTCTAAGTTCCAGGCTAGTCAGAGCTATACAGTAAGACCGTCTTTAAAAAAAAAAAGTTGTGCACATCAGTCTTTCAAAGTAAAATCAAAACATACTGTTTGTTGTATAAACAAAAATAAATAAAATGCTTTAAAAAAAGCTGTATCTAAAACCTCAGCAGAAGTCCAAATGTCAGCACTGTATAGTCCTTTCAGGCTGCTCAGTGTCCTGAGGAACTAGCAGGTCTGGCCAATATAAAACTTGTAGATGACCTTAAGAAGCCCTAAACTCACTGAGCTCTGACTGCAGAGTTGGCCCTCTCCAAAACAAAGGGGAGACCCCACTAAGAATAGGTTGCTCCTGGAGAAAAAGGTTCCCTGCTTGCTCTGGGCTTGGTGTCTGCTTCGAGAAAGGTAGCATGTCTGAGGGTAAAGCTGTTCTAAGACAGAGAAAATAGTTTTGACATGTCAGGGAGCCAAACATGAAGGCCATGTCCCCTTTGTCTGCGGTGAGTTAAAATTGTATTTCTTTTGTCTTTTTTTTTTTTCTTTTAATCAAGGTCTCACTATGTAGCCCTGGTTGGCATAAAACTCACTATGTAGACCAGGGTGGCCTCAAACTCAGGGATCTACCAACTTCTGCCTCTGGAGTGCTGGGATTAACCATGCCCAGTATTTCTCTGGTTATCTCTTTTCATGAATTTAAATGAAAAAAATTTTAAGTTGGGACTGGTGGTATAGGCCTGTCTCCAGAGGAAAACTGCAAATTCAAGGCCAGACCTTCTCAAAATAAAAGTAAAGGGCTGGGAAGATGACTCAGTGGGTAAGAGCAGCATGCATGAGGCCCTAGGTTCAATCCATAATACAAAACAAAAAAATTTTAAACCAAGTAGTTACATATTCATATAATTCAGAATCTAAAAAGATATAGTTATCTGTCATTATCCCTGGGAGACTGGCTTCAAGGTATTTTCTCTCAGTCCCCTCCCTTAGAAAAATACCAAAATCTGCAGCTGCTCAAATTACTTATATAAGAGAGCTGGAGAGCATTAAAGGCTAAGGCTAACAACCAAAACATCAAATAGCTCATATAAAATGGAATGGTACTTGCACACAATTCATGCACATCCTTCTGTACACTATAAATCATCTCTAGATGTAATAACTAATAAATAACGCTACATAAATTCGTGCTATACTATTTAAGGAGTACTGACAACAAAAACATCTGTACACATCAGTACAGATGCAAATCTTTTTCCATGATCTGCATTTGGATGCCTATATGGATGTGAATCCACAGATGCAGAGGGCCAACTGTATAAGGATGTCTCCCTCTGCCTCATCCCCTAGCACATGAGTACCCCCAAGTATGCTCACCAATACTGTCTTCCAGAGCAGCAAGAGAACTTTCTTCATGGGGAAGTGGGGAGCATGGCCACTGCAAAATTTGGTCACCATCCCAAACAGCATGATGGCAAATGGCTCGTTGTTGTACAGAGGGGAGCCTGGAGGCAATGCAAAGGTATAAGGATCAATCAACAAGTGGGCCCTCCCAAAGCCCTCCAGTTTTAGCACCCAGGCAGGGTCTAAAGATATCCCCAGGGTCCTACCCAGCTCAGCTCTGAAGGTCTGTCGCATGGTTCTCCACTCAGCCTTGTCACCCTCACAATCCTGGTGAACAGTCTCCACAATAAGGTACATGATGTTGAGCAGGACCCTGAGTACAAGAACCATCTCATAATAGAATAAGACAAGGGACTAAGGGCTTTTCAGCCAGGAGTGGTGGTACATGCTTATAATCTTATAATCTTGGGAAGCTGAGGCAGGAAGCTCTCAAGTTTGTTGCCAGCCTGGGCTATGTAGTCTCAAACAAACAAACAAATGAAAATGTAGAGAAGTGCACCCTTGGCTTTCTCACTTCCCCAAGATGAACACATCCTGTACCCAAAGGCTGGCTGCGAAGGGAAGACTGTAATGCAGAGAAAACTGAGACAAGAAATGAAAAGCTTGAGCATCCTGCAGAAAAAGGAGTGTTTAAATCTTTTCCTCCTGGTGCTTCTTTTACTGTTTCAGGTTGCTCAGGCCAAGACTATATCTTATCCTGTATCTCCAGTGTCTAAAAAAGTGCTTACTTGATGGGTGTGGTAGCACATGTCTTTACTTCCAGCACTTGGGGGCAGAGGCATGCAGATCTCTGTGAGACAGAGGCCAGCCTGATCTACATAGCAAGTTCCAGGCCAGCTGGGAGACCCTTCCCCCCAACCCCCCAAAACAAACCAAAGTGCTTACTTAAAGCTGAATAAACATGAACAAAAATGGCCAATAGAAATTTCTGCCCTATGCTTCCTGAAAACAAAACAACAGGTTAGAGTAAGCTGCTAAGGTCAAACCAGGGCTGGATCACAGAAAGAAAAAGGATGGCATTTAGCATGATGGAGTGGAAAACAGGAGACGAAACTCAGAGAGTCTACAGTGGGGAACAACACACTCAGAAGTAAATTGTTCAAATTCACAAGATAGATTTCAAACCCTAAAACATGGAATGACAACCCTGTTATTCAGCAGTTGCTATTACTACCTCTACAACCAGGAAACAGGATGACCTTGTCAAAATGGCCCAATACACAGAGACAGGGATCAAGTTGTGCTCATGGGATGGTGGGAGCCCAGGACTAAGGTCCTGGTTTTTGTCCACATAAAAAGCAGTTCATGGGCCAGGTGTGGTGGCGCACACCTTTAATCCCAGCACTTGGGAGGCAGAGGCAGGCGGATCTCTGTGAGTTCAAGGCCAGCCTGGTCTACATAGTGAGTTCCAGGACAGCTGGGGCTACAGGGAGACCCTGTCTCAAAAAGACCAGGGAAGAAAAAAAAAAAAGCAGTCCACAACCAACTTTAGTAGCTCTATTAAGTGGCTTGACTCTAGATTTCTTCTGGAGTCTCCAGACTCACCCCGCTCCTCCCATGAGGCAGAGGCCTCAGCAGGACCCACTAATCAGTCCCTGTGAGTCCATCACACCCTCACATTAGTGTGTGCAGAAGGAATGCATACACAGCTAAGAAACTCAAAGATGCCCTTGTGGCCTTGCTGAGCTCACTCCCTGGCTCAGGGTATCAACTGCAGTTTCTCTCACCTCAGATCTGTGCTGTCAGCCAGGGAGATGGCAGGTTTCCTCACTGCACTGCTGCACGCGGCACTGTTACTGCAGAAGAGAGTTGAGTCAGCACCTTGATCAACCCAGTAAGGCAGGTAAGTAATGTTCTGACAAGTACTGTCCCATCAGGGAACAAAACGCTATGATATGTGCTTGGGTTCTAAAGGAGACCTTAGGACACGCTGGCTGGGAATTTAAGCCCTGGACTAGACCGCCAAGTCAAGTGTGAAACCTGACTCTAATATTTACTAGCTACATATACCTGGGCAAGTAGAGTCAACTTCTCTGTGCCTAGTTTCTTCATCTACAAAATCAGGATGATAGCAGTACTAATTATGTCATTAACATGAGCTAGTAGATACAATGCCCTTAGAGCAATGCCTGGAAGATGTACCTACTGTGTATTTATTTTACTTTAATTTTTTTGTTGTTATTTGTTTTTTGAAATAAGTCTAAGTAGCTGTGGCTAGCTTAGATCTCACTATGAAGACTATGTTGGCCTCCAACTTGCATCAATCCAACTTGCATCAATCTTCCTAGCCCTGCCTCTTGCGTGCTGAGATTACAAGTCTGTACTACCACTCTTGGCCTTAGCTGTTATTTAAGATGGCTGTTACTCTTGAATGAGCAGTAGCTGATCTGTCCATGAGACAAAGACCAGTGACAACAGAGACAAGGACCAAGGAACACAATAAAAAAGGCTTTATTTGGCTCCATATCAGATTTGTGCCTGATGTCCTGCTGAAGGGAAAGTGCAGGGTAAATACAGGGGAGGACCTGCCCAGGTGTTAAAGCTCCAGCATTAAGGAGTATGTGGACCCAGGAACCCATCATTATTTTCTATCAACACAGGAACTTCTCATCTCTCTCTGTTATATAATTTTTTAAGGTATAGTCAAGCAACTTCTCCATTACTCAATCCTGAATAGTCAGAACTGCCTGGGACCAGACCCTCAGCCTCAGGTGGCCCATATATCTGTTTCAAAGGCTGTTAGTTTTGCAAGCCCCACCCCCACCCCCCTGCAGATGTGCTCACTCTATTTCCATGTTCAGAAGCTCCACCAAGGCATTGAACGTGCCCACCTCCAGGAGCAGAAAGATGTTATAGCGCATCCAGAACTGCACCTCTGCCTCTGAGCTGCACTCTCCAAAGGTGCCTGCAAACACAGGGCAGAACTTACCAAGCCCCTCCATACACAACTAGGCACTGTCATTGGCAGAAGCGCCAGTAGTCCCTGGGGACAGCCACACAGTACCTTGGGCAACATAGAGAATTGCTCGGGCCACCTTGAGTCTCTTCTCCCTAGCAGTGACTTCCAAGCCATCCAGGAGCCTCATGGCATGGGTGCGGTGCTGGTTGGTATCCAGTTCAGTCCACCTCTTGTCTGTCACTGCAGGGCAAGGGACCAATTATAACTGAGTCCACAAATTCCTTTGCAATAGAATGAACTCAGTTCTATTCTTCCAAATTCAGGGCAGTCACAGAGAGACAAGATTACTCCATTTGTAAGAGATAAGGTCAAACTGCTGCTTTATGGATTCCTTAAAATACCACCATCAAAATGACCAGAAGGCCCACTCTATTTTTATTGATTTTTAGTTTTTTTTTAATTTTTCAAGACAGGGTCTCACTATGTAGTTCTTGGCTGGCCTGGAACTTATTATGTAGACCAGGATGGCCTCCATCTCACAGAGATCCGCCTGCCTCTACCTTCCAAGGGCTAGGATTAAAGGTATGTGCCACCACACCTGGCCAGAACGCCCACTCTAAATGTCACATCTGGCCTTAAACAACCATGGCAGGTTTCACAAGCTCCAGGATGACTTAGATCAGCTGGATGATGAAAAAAATCTGCACTTTCCTGATGCTAAATGAAGGGAACCAGGAAGTGGGTGAAATAATCTCACCATGGATCTGGAAGTCCTCCTCAAAGCATTTTCTGTTCATCAGGAATTCTGGTCCTTCTGTGTAGCTGTAAAGCTCTGTTAAAGAACAAAGTCTCCTCACCACCACACATCAGGTGTCACATGCAGCAGAGAAGGTAAGGCATGTTTCCTAACCTAACTCTGCCCTTAAGTCACAGTGATACTAAGATTATTCTTTCTAATGCTTATGGGGAAGGTTTTAGTGCTCTGTCATGCATGATGGAGATGATGTTGATCTGTTTGTAGCTGATAACCAGAATGCCACTGCAGTATAAATCTGGACACTTTTTTTTTTTTGGTCTTTTTGAGACAGGGTCTCCCTGTAGCCCCAGCTGTCCTAGAACTCATTATGTAGACCAGGCTGGCCTTGAACTCACAGAGATCCGCCTGCCTCTGCCTCCCAAGTGCTGGGATTAAAGGCATGCGCCACCATGCCCGACATAAATCTGGACACTTTTATGTGATGTGCATCAAACTGTGTCATGCCAGAGGTGACCATCACCCTGAACATGTCTCTCGAGTGTCACCCTGAATAAGACCTGTACTGTAAAGGCTGGAGAAGCAGCGCATGCTGACTTCACAATATACAGCTGTGGTAGCAGCAACAGATGTGCAAAGATTCAAGCACAACTGCCAGTATTCTTCAAACACATCACTGTCAGGCTGGTGAATGGCCAAGGAACACCACCAATTGCCTTACACTTTGACTAGGCTCTAACTGAGCCAACTGGATTCTAACCAAACAAGACACTTCATTAAAGTAAAAGACAATCTGGAGGGATGGCTCAGTGGTTAAGACCACTGGCTGCTCTTGTAGAGGACCCAGATTCGGTTCCCCATATCCACATAGTAGCTAACTCCCATTCTGGGGATCCAGCACCCTCTTCTGGTTTCCATGGGCACTGCATGCATGTAGTGCATTTACATACATACAGGCAAAACGCTCATACACAAAAATTTTTAAAAAAGGATAATCAAAAGTTATGAGATACTCAGTCCCTAAACATATGTTTTATGTACTACTGATAGGAATAAGTAGGGGGAAATGAAATTCAAAGTGATATTTATTCTTAATTTTCTTTTTTTAAAGTTTTATTTGTTATTTTTGTTTTATGTGTGTGTGTATTGCCTACATGTAGATAAGTGCACCCGTGTCATGCAATGCCCATGGAGGACAGATGAGGCTGTCAGATCCCCTGCAAGTGAAGTTAGGACAGCTGTTAACTCCATGTGGGTGCTGAGATTTGAACCCCGGTCTTCTGCAAGAACAGTCAGTGAGTGTTCTTAACCGCTGAGCCAGCTCTCCAGCCCCTCATTCTTAATTTTCTTAAAGACCAAGTAAAGACCTACGCTTTACCTGAGAGCTCTGCAGTCCACTTGTCTGTGTCAGCATATTCAAACTCCAGGTCTGGAGACTCAGAATAGCCCTGAAGATAAACAGAGAATTTTATACAAAAAGATCACTCTGAGTGTTTTTCAAAGGAGAAGCCTCCAGAGACACTGGGGTGCCCCAGGATATCACTGCTTCTACTTTTTGATGTTTCATCACAATGTTTTTCCTCCTGGGCTAGCTCAAGTCCCTATTAAGTCTTCTCAGAGCACTTTATATTTCACCTTCAAAGCACTTATTATAAACCATAATTATACACTAGAATGTTTGTTTAGTGTCTCCTCTTCTGAGACTGCAAGTTCCTTGAAACAGGATCTTTGTTTTGCTCACCAATGCTATCGTAATGTTCAGCATAGTACTTGAGATGAATGAATAAAGGAATCAATACTTTAATATTCAAATATATACCTGTTCAATAAACGAACACAAAATTTCTATTTTGTGCCATGAATGACCACTTCATACAGTGTTGAATATCTAGAAGCTTCACTTCTTTCTAGACAGTGTACTATCAACAGCTTAGGAGAAAATGAGTATTGAAACCCTCAGCCATCTTGCCCTTGTCTCAATTTTCAGTGAGAACTGACAGACAGAGAAGGCAGAAATGAAACAGATTGGCCACCCTCCCACACAGAGAAGAGAATGGAATGAGAACTTTTTTTGTTTTTACTGCTAGGGATAGGTGATACTGAGAACACGCCATCTTAGAAGCCTTATATAGGGAGAAAGCAGAAAGATGAAATAGATAAATTCAGTCTTTAAAATGTACTTGGGGATCAGTGGGATAGGTATAGTTCAATGGTAGAACACCTTGCCTACCATGCACAAGAAGGCCCTAGGCTTAATCTTCAGCATTGGTGGGGGAGAGGGGGAGAGGGAGAGAGAAGGAGAGAGAAGTTGTAACAGAAATTAGGAATATAATGGCACTGACAAAATGACATACTCATAAATACAAATTTTACTCCTTATTCACAGACAACAGTAACTTATTCACAAGTTACTGAGCTTCAGGCTAGGGATATAGTCCAGTAGTACAACGTTTACATAGCATTGTGAGGTCCTGGGTTCAAGTTCTAGTACAGTCAAAAACCAAAATAAAATAAACAGCACAAGTTACTGACATTAAGTTTTTGCATATATAAAATGCATTGTGATCATATTCATTACCACCCCATTACTCTTTTATCTCCCTCCCTTCTTTATTTATTCATTTACTTATTTAGAGACTCACTATATACCCCAAGTTGGCCTTAAATTCTGGATCCTCCTGCTTCAGCCTCCAGAGTGTTGGCACTACCATACTTGGCTACTGTGGCTGTTTTTGAAATGAATAAAAATGATATAGCACATAGTGAGCTCTCATTAATGTCAGTTTCTTTGTCCTGTAGGCACTGCTCAGGTTTCCAAGCTGCTGATTTCAGCTGTGACTAAAGGAAGTGTGCAGCATCAGCACCTCTGATGCATGCAGGCACATCTATTTGGCCTTCCAGATGCTGGCTCTTCAGGGAAATTAATAGGGAGACAGAGAAATTAAAAGGCATCATGGGGCTAAGGGTGTAGCTCTGTAATACAATGCTTGCCTAGCACACATAAGGCTCTGAATTTGATCCCCAGCAGCACAAGATAATAACGAAAATAAATACATAAAATGCACCAAAGGATATTTATCTGACCACTTGTAACTATTCAAGAAATGTTTTTAATAAAAAATTACACATTTATTCATTTATTTTGTGTATATGTGTATGCCTGGTTGCATGTCATGGCACACATGTGGAGGTCAAAGAACTTTAAGAGTCAGTTCTCTCCTTCTACCACATCTACCAGGTCCTAGGGCTCCAACTTAGGTGTCAGATTTGCCTTTATCCACTGAGCCATCTCACCAGCTCTAAAACGTTTTTATAAGGAGGGATGGAGGTGTTGTTCACTACTCAGCATTCTCTCCAGAAAACAAAAACAAAAAAACCCCTACTCCTCTTACTGATAAAGGTGTGTTCATAAACTCACAACTCTCATAATTCCCCACACTTGAAAAGATTGAGAATTAGCCATTGATGACCTACCATCCCACAATATAAAGGCTCCTAAAAGGTCCATTGTTTTTTCTTTTTCAAATAATTCACTTTCAGTTCAACCTCTCTACTACGGGTTTACTCATTTGTGACATGTTTTATCAGGAGTTTGAGCCTGCAACAAAAAAACAGATGTTTGAAAGGAACTGATTTCAGAGGTCTAAAGATAATACCCTTGTCTTGGTATGAGCCGGAACATCAAATTTGGACAATGAGGACTTCCCTCTCATCAATAAGTGCCCGACTGCTCATCACCCTGGGAGTTGTCTTAGGTGGTGGAGATTGCATAGTAAGTGCTCTGGGAATGAATGTGCTGATTAAGAAGCCCTAAAATGCTGCAACGTGCGACGACGTGTGTGTGTGTGTGTGGGGGGGGTGTTCATTCATGAATTCTGCAAAAGGGAAGCAGTGGGAGGAATTTTAACTTGGGGCAAGGTGAATAGTCTGCTCCAGACTAGTTGTCTCAGGAAAAAGGAGGCAAAGCTCACGAGCAGGAGGGAGAATCCTGCACCTTTCGGCTAGTTTCTGATCCTTCCGAATTCAGCACTGGGCTCAAAAACTAGTCACCGACCGCCCACACCCTGACCCTGCGGTGGCTGCAGTGAGAGGAACCCTGTGTGTTCTCTCCGCTACTCTGGGGGCTACACAGCACTAGCAATAAAAGATAGCTTTTTAGTGCTTTCTGAACTCCCTGGTCCTTCCCCGCCCACACGCTCGTCCACCGCCAGCCCACAACTAGAGGCCCGAAATAGTTCGGGGCCTCCAGCCTTTTCGCCCGGCACACAGATCGCGGACTCCCAGGGGGCTGGGCCTCGGGCCACGCCCCCAGCCCGTACCCCAGGAGCCGAGGGGCTGCCGAGTTCCAAGACCTTCTCGCGGGTAGCGGCGGGGTTCCGGGCTTCCTCCCGACCCGCTGGAGCTGCCAGCCTCGCGGGCTGCTCGGTTCTCCGTGGAGTGACAGCTGCCCGACTCCGTACGGAAGCCTGGCTCAGCACCGGAAGCGGCCCCGGCCCGGTCCCCACAGGCGACCGCGCAGAGCCAGCCTCGCCCCCCGAGCTGGGCCAGTCTCGCCCCCCGAGTTCTGACCTCTGAGTCTTTGCGCTGGTTGCGGTTGAACTCTCGAGCTTTGCCGCCCGGCAGAAGGCCACCTCCGGCCCTCGGCGTCCCCGAGGGAGGCTGCGCCGCGGCGGGCGGCGGAGGAGGTGGCGGCTGGGGCTGCTTGTTGTTCACAATCAACGGGCTTGGCCCGCCGGTTGCAGGCTCCATCTTGGTTGCTCCACACCCCCGGCGCGGTTCGCGGACGGCTCCACTGTCAACTCTCGCGTGATTTCCTCCAGGAAAGGTCCGTGGTCGCCATATTGAGTGTGGCGGCGTGTCCTGAAAGCCCTAGGGTCCGATCGCTTCTCGGGACACCCCCTGCTAGAAGTCTTTCCCTCCTGGGTCATTTTACTTTCTCTTTTTTCCTTCCAGGGGGACTAAGGGACATGCCTCTGGGCTCCCACGAATCCATGTGGGTGTCTTTGTGACACTTAACTCCTTAAGTTACTTTAGATATTCCTTCCTTACCCTAACATTTTGAGCTTAATCACCGTCAGCCTTGTTTAAGATGGGATAGAAAGGAAAAATCATGGAGACATGAGAAGAGAAAGGAACCCCTTACCCAAGAGTCTGGTTGAAGCTCCTTACCAGCAGAGGATTCTCACACAATTAACAACTGCTTAAGGCCTTTCTCCCCTTCCAGATGAAAAACTTGCAGTTTTCCAGTTTTTCAGAAACCCCTTGTGCAACCCTAGTGACTCCTGGTTTTACTTTATCATATTATGCTTTCATCCAAGACACCTCCAAAGCTATACTATAATCTCACTTATCAAAAGAGAGAAAACGGGGGCGGGGTTCTTTAGCTATCTTGTAGCTTGATAGTCACCAAAATGGTATAGATAGCCAATACTAAGACACTTAATGAGGGTACTGGAGAGATGGCTCAGTGGTTAAGAGCACTGACTGCTCTTCCAAATGACACAGTTTGATTCCCAGCACCAGCATGGTGGCTAACAACCGTACAAAACTCCAGTTCCAGGGGATCTGACACCTTCTGACCGCCACTGACATTGCATGACATGGATGCACTTACACACATGCAGGCAATATACACATAAAAATAAAATAATAAAATATTTTTCTTTAGAGATGCTTGATGACTCTCCTAGAGGAGTCACGCTTGGGTATTACTTCCTTTCCCTGCCCACTCTTTCTCCTAACATTCCTGCTTGAAGTCTATATTAAATTATCTTTAATAAACCCCCTACTTTGCTTCATACTGTCTAATCCTGAAAGTTCCTTATTTTTTCCTCATTGAAGACATAAATCCTGGTTTGAACTGAATTGATGTCCCTGAAAGATTAGGGGAACTCCTCAGGCTGCTGAAGGGCACAGTGTGGTGTCGTGTCTTTGTCCTCTTCCCACTGACAAAGACTTGGAGGACATAGTGATCAAAATGGATAGGATTCCAGTCCTCTTGGAGGTTACAGTCACATGGGGGAGATACAAACACACGAATAAACAAGACACAAAAAATGAAGTGTGTGCATGTGTAATAAAGAAATAATGGAGAAGAGAGAAGGGTGGTTAATGGGTATATAACAGGCATTTGGAAACTGCTGTTCTTGCGGGGTGTGGTGGTGCGCCTTTAATCCCAGCACCCAGGAGGTAGAGGTAGGCAGATCTCTGTGAGTTCCAGGCCACCTGGGGCTACAGGGAGACCCTCTCTCAAAATAAAACAAGAAAGGAGGGAGGGAGGGAAGGAAGGAAGGAAGGAAAGAAAAGAAAGAGCTATTCTATTCTAAAAAGCATTAACTCCTAACTTGGTCCCCAAAGTAACCAAAAACAGAATAAAACCTGACATCTCTGCCTTCATTTTGTATGTTTCATTTATTTTGGGTCAGTTGCTTACCTCTGAACTAAGTTCTGAAGTTAATTACTCAAGGAGCATCTATCTAAAAACTATAGTATTTAATCTCATTCTCTTCAAAGCCAATCAGATAAGAATAACAGACATCTTACCATCAGCTTTTTGCAGTGTCCTGTCCCAGAAACCCCTTCCCCAAGAGGCACCCTAAAGGTTTCTGGTTGTTGTCCTCAACCTACTAGGCATCAGGAATTTTCAAAGCCTCACAGAACAAAACATTCCCAGTCAAGGGCTATTACCTATGATGGCACTGCTACACCCTGGAGTGGGAGTAATCATCTCCTGAGAACTAGCCTGTCTCCTCCAGCAACAAGGACTTATTTCTATCTCCTTGCAGAACTAGAACTGAGACAATGATGGACCTGACCACACTTTGACCAGAAGTGCTTAATTATTCATACCTCTTCCCTTCTGCCTCAATTATTCCCATATTTAAACCTAAAGCTCATGTCAGTTCCCGAAAGAGAGATTTGGAGCCAAAACTAGACCCTTTTATCTGTTCCTCTTCCCAATGTGCTCATTGATTAAATCTCTGCTTTTTATCTTTATTTTCTCTTTAATTGACATATTGAGACAGGTGATAAAGCCTATTAGAGCTGTCAAAGCCAGCATTTTTGTCCTAAAACTTTGCTTACAGGTACAGGGATGTAGTTGGATGGAATAATTTTGTGTGTGTCAGTGGGAATTGAAGTTGAACCAAGGTCTTGTGCATGTTTGGCAAAGGTTCTCAAATTGGGCCACATCTCCAGACTGGATGGAATAACTTCTTTTTAAAAAAAAATTTATTTCAGTTTTTAAAATTATTTTCATTTTATCTGTAAGAACACAACTAGTGCTCTTAACCACTGAGCCATCTCTCTAGCCCCTGGAATAACTTCTGATGTTCTCTATAGCATGGCAGGATAACTATGATTGACAACAATGGACTGAATATTTCAAATAGCTTTATTTTAAAAGATTTTGAGGTGCTGGAGAGCTAAGAGGTTAAGAACACTGGCTGTTCTTGCAAAAGTCCTAGGTTCGAATCCCAGCACCCACATGTCATCTAACAACCACCTGTAACTCCAGTTCCAGTGGACCAGACACCCTCTTTTGTCCTCCGTGGGCATTGCACGACACAGGTACACTTACACACATGCAGGTAATACACTCATACACATAAAATAAAAATAAATTTAAAATAAATGAAAAAAAAAAAGATTTTGAGGCAGGCATGGTGGTATGTGCCTTCAATTCCAGCACTTGGGAGTCAGAAGCAGGCAGATCACTGTGATAACTGTTAAAGATGGCAAGGCAGGCTTTATTCAAAAGGAGGCATGGCAACTGGTATAGGAACCATTCCAATGAGGTCTTAAAATGAGAGAGAGAGAGAGAGAGAGAGAGAGAGAGAGAGAGAGAGACTAGATCTAACTCTTCTTCAACAAGGCTAAGGGATTCAGGTGAGCCTTCCAAAAGGCCCACACAGCAGCAATATGAGTTGGTCTGTACTTGACCTATTGTGGTGGTGTTTAAAAAAAGATTATATCAAGTCTCAGCCAGCTTCAGTCTGCAGGACTTCAGAAAGAGGAAGTTTTAGTTTCCAGTGATGAATAGTCAGGAGTGTAAGAGAAAAACTGGAACTATTAGTTTGGAGATCTAAAGCCAGATATTTGAGGAAACTTTTGTTATCAATCTAGGCTATTGGTAAGTAGATAACAAAGGCTTTGAAATAATGAACAGGGCTACACTCTAGTAATGGTGTACTAGAGTTTTCTACTAAGACACAAATTTTCTCTCTACAGTTACTACCTTTCTACTAAAAATAATCATAGTAAGACCAATATGTTTGTGAAATAGGGCTAAAACTAACCTTGGCTTGATTGTTTACATAAGTGCTGCAAGAACAGTGATTGATCACATGGGCTATAGAATGTGCACACACACACACACACACACACACACACACACACACACATAGAGGATCAAATCCAGGATCTCCTGCAAGGCAAAATCCCTATAACTGAACAATCCCCTGAATCCTGGATTGGACTTTTAAAGCCTCTTTAAGGCTGGGAAGAAGCTAAGGCCTTGCCATCAGACTTTGGTTTGGTTGAATCCCTCTGGAGGCTCCCCCAAATATTCTTAGGTTCGTAAGACTGACAGCAAGTGACTTTGTCATCTGTAAGGATGGGAATATTTAAAAGCAAGATATCAGGTCATATTATGCCATGAAGCTATATTAACTCTGGAAAGTCAATCTTGGTTCCTTAAACCTCTAAGGAAACTGTTTCATTTTAACAGAGGTAAGACCAAATCCTACTTTTGTGCTAATGTCTTTTTTATATTAAAGTTCATCTTAAAACCCTTAAATAGAAACATTAGAGTTTAGACATTTTGGCCTCTCTCTCTTGTCTGTCTCTTTCCTCTCTCTACAATTTCTGTATCACTTTAGTTTGTGTCCTTCAGTTTCCTTTTCATTATGAACCAGCCTGTAGTGTGAGCCACCATGCGTGGCTTAGGAAAGTTTTTAAAATATTTCATTTATTTTTATTTTATGTATATGAGTGTTTTACCTTCATGTAAGTCCACTCGTGACATGCAATGCCTGTGGAGGCCAGAAGAGGGAGTCAGATTCTCCTGGAACAGGAGTTACAGACAGTTGTTAGCCACCATGCAGGTGCTGGGAACTGAACCTGGGTCCTCTTGAAGAGCAGTCAGTACTCTTCACCATCTCCCCAGCCCTAGAAAATTGTTTTTAAGTAGACATATTACAAAACAATTACTACTAAAAAATTATTTGTAAAGTTTTGTCTAACTTATATCTACTTAATTCGTTTGTGACAACTATAGTTGAATTACGCATAAAAATTTCATGAGATATGAAGCAGTTGGCTTTCATCTTATTTTTCTTACAAACTTTCTAACAAAGATTATGTGAACTTGGTTGACCTAGTAAACCTAAATAGAATCAAAGTTACATGTCTGAGTTATATTTAATAGTGAAGACTCTAGAAGAAATCCTTTCTTCTATTTTACCGTTTTAAAAATTTGTATATAATAAAAATCAATCTACAAAAATCAGTAGCCTTTCTATATACCAATAACAAGCAACTGGAGAAAGAATATAGGGAAATGCTCCCATTCACAATTGTTGCAAAAAAATTAAAATATCTTGGAATAAATCTGATTAAAGGCACCAAAGATCTCTACAATGAAAATTTTAAATCGTTAAAGAGATTGAGGAAGACACTAGGAGATGGAAGGACCTCTCATGTTCATGGATTGAAAGAATTAATGTTATTAAAATGACCATCATACCAAAAGCAATATATAGATTCACTGCAATCTGAAT